GCCGATGCGAGAAACTGGAACCGTCCCTGGGGACCTCGGCAGCACAAGCCATGCCATCTTCCCAGCGTCAGCAGGAGTCTGGAGGGAACCAGGAAGCCTCTTTTGACTATTACAATGTCTCCGATGACGACGACTCTGAGGAAGGGGCAAACAAAAACGCTGAGGAGGAGAAAAATAGAGATGATGTAGGCACCATGCAGTGGCTTCTGGAGAGGGAGAAGGAAAGAGACTTGCAGAGGAAGTTTGAGAAGAACCTCACCCTCCTCACCCCAAAAGAAACCGACAGCAGCAGCAACCAGAGAGCCACCCATTCAGCCCGGCTCGACAGCATGGACAGCAGCAGCATCACCGTGGACAGTGGATTCAACTCCCCACGGTAGGGAGAGGGGTCTACACACACACACACACCCACGGGGGCCTGGGGCTTTATGCAGATAACTTGAGAAGTTTCTGATCTCACAGTCTCGCTTCTGTGAATGAGGGCTAAGAGTTGTGTGTGTTGTGTTGTTAACAGCCTGTTTCTGACTTCTTTTTCAGGAATTGAAAAAAAAAGTTTCTGCAGCTGTAGAGATCACCAATCTGGACTGGTGGGTTGGCCTCAGACTTGCATCAGTCTGGTCTAACTAAGACCAGCACTTCCCAGTATTTCTTCTATTCCTGTTGCCATCATGCTAAAGAAAGGGTTGTTTTTTTGTTTTTTGTTTTTTTTTTTTTACAAGTCCTTCAGAAATAATAACTTTTTGAAGAGGGAATAGTCAATGGGGACAGGGATGGAGAGTCACCTGATGCTAAGGAGGGGTCCCTCTAGTGAGAATATTAATCACAGACCTCAAAACCTTTCCAGAGGACCTGGAATCTTGCTGCATTGCAATCCCACTTTGTGTGCAGCCTGCCCACTTGCTCATGCACCTTCCTGCCTCTGCCCTCTTGTCTACAAAGAAATGGAAACGTGTTCCTCTCACAGAAAGGTCGGGGGCCTGTGCTCTAGTAAATCAAGACATGCACCAGTGCTTTTATTTCTCGTCCTGCAGAATTAATAGAACCCATTTAGGCACTGCCGTCACAGTCGCTTCCTTTTGTAGGTTTTGTTAATTCAGAAGAGTTGATAATTGAGAGTATAATGCCTGATGGTCATGTCCAAAGCACTGAAGTGGTTCAGGAATTACAAAAGCAAACTGAGGAGTCTAGATAACTTCCTTTTTTTCCTCCTTAACACTTTCTTCTCTTTAAAAGGGCAACTTGGGTCCTAAATCTCCTTCTAAATTCTACTCCAGATTGGTGGCTCTGAGATGCAGAAATACTTCGAAGAGACTGACATTCCTCATCAGCTGTGATTCCCAGGATCTTACAGTACTTAGAATTTTTAGCAAGTACCCAGATATGATTATGGACTTCGTATTTTTATTTTAATTATTAAGAATTAAAATTAATTCTGTTGTGACCATTTGGCCATTTCTCTGGATACTTTGGGGATAGAGCATCCCAAAGTCAGAACTGGGAATCATTAATCTGTTTGTCCCATATTAGGCCTTTGTTATTTCTTCAAAGGGCTATTTCTTGATGATTATAATAATAGTTATTATTATTATGGTCATGTGAACTTTTTGCAAGTTAACATGTGTAAGTCTAATGTCCAAACAGACCACACAGATGGCATGCTGGTTAAAGTGGGTGGGGGACCAAGAGCCCCAGGTCTCCTCTACCTGTCCCTTGAGGATCCTTGAGAGACCTCAGCCATCACACCTAGTCTTTAAATCACTGGCCTATTTAGTGACTTTTCTAAGAAATTGTTTTTGCTAAATCATTTTTTATCCGAAACCAAATTTTCATGTATTCTCCAATTTATTTTCTCTAATCTTTTCTATCTATTTTCCTTTTCTGCTCTTTTTTTTTCTCTTGAAAGATTTTATGTAGTGGGTACCTGATATGCATAATTGAAGGTCTGTAGTCTGTGGCAAAAGCTCAAAGTCATTGCTTATTGAAGGCATGTTTTATGTCCCTGTATCTTTGTGTTCCCCTATTGCTTATGACATAGACTCTACTGCCTGGTGCTTTTCATACTAAAGTTTCAGACTCTTAATGTTGCCCTCTTGACCCCTAGACTTCCACATGCAGAGGTCATTGCTAAGGATACATCAGGAGTAGTTTAGTGGATTCTAATATAAAACCCTACTACTGCATAATATTGAAAGTTTTTGTTTGTTTAGGGGTTAACAGAAGGATTCAGGAAATAACCAAATGAGTATCTCTGCATAATCTAGTATCTCAAAACTTGGAGTGCAGACTGTAGGATTTTTTAAATAACATTCAAAAGTTAAATGCTTTGTTGTAGTAAAGTTTGTTGTAAGGAGACTGCCTTCACACATTAGCCACATGTCTATCTATGCTTCTCTATAGGAACATGTAGATTTTTCCATAAATTTCATGCAGTTAGAGAACCTACAGAACAATTCCTAATTTTACCCCTTTCAGATTTAATATCATTTGGTTAGAAGCCAGATGACAAACTTTATTTCTATATGCCTTGATAAAGTCACTAAGTTACCTTTTTAATGCATGAGGATGTGCAAGAGAATATTTGATTTACAGGGTTTTCAACACGAGTAGTGTTGTAGCTGAGTAACATTATCATGCTGATACCTTCCCATTGCTAAGACATGGGAATCTTTAGTGGGCTGTTCATTCAGATCTTTGAGTAAAATATTTCACTAAGCAACTAAGATGCAAGCAAGCAAGATGAGTTTTCCCTATACTTAAAGGTTTTAGTCCTGACCCATCAGTCCTGTTCAGCCACATTTCCAAAATGTTTTAGTCCAAACTATTGGAAATTAAAAATGTTGAAAAAATAAAAAGATCAGAAACTTGATCTATACTATGAGGTCTTGTAATAAAAATGAAAAATTTTGGCATGAAAAGCCTGCTACTCCATAGCTAAGGCCAAAAAATGGTTGAGCAACACAATATGAAAATAAGAGACCAAAGTCTACCAGGGATGTGTCTGCTTAATGTATGGCAAGAGACATGTGCTAGAGCAGCCTAGGGCCAAGGGAACACATGGCTAGTAAGAGGATGAACAACACAGCTACTTAGTTCACTTCTCCAACTTATTCCTGGAATTTTTATTTTTAAGGTTGCATTCAATTAGCTCCCTGTAAAAAATAATTAAATTTATTGATAACAGTCCATTTCTATTAACTTTTTATCATCATATCCTGAGACCTCAGTATGAATGTCATAGTCTGTACTATTATTAAATATATTCTTTACAGAAACTGGAATACTACCTATATTTATCACTATTAATACGTTGTAGTGGTCAAAGGCATCTTATAGCAGAGACAGCTCCCCACTTAGGTGATGTTAGGGATGAAGAGGAAAGGAAAGACCTCCCCACCATAGTACGTGGACCTGTAGACTAGCTGGAGCAGGCTTACAAGCCAAGGAGGTTCTTACAGCCACTCTGAGGACCTTGAACATGAAGGATTTACTCAGTTCCCCTCAATCAGACTCAGTCATCTTCTTTGCTGTTATTGCCCTACATGTTTGAAATGTTAAATGTTCTACATCGCTTAAAGCAATGAAATAGGTTCAAGGATTTCTAATTTAGAAAAATTGTTAGAAAAAAATGAGAGGAATAAAGCTTTTTAGCCTCTATTCTATAAGAATCCTCTAAAAAAAGAAAATATTTCTACCAAAGGAAGGCAGAAATGAATGTAAACTTGATAAATAAATGGGGAAAAAAACCCCTCAGGTCCTTTGTCAGAAAATATATTTTAACCAAAGTGTTAAAATTTGACACAGAAGTATACAGTGTTGAAAAAGAATTTTATCCCCATCACTGTGAGAAATGAGCTGGTAGCATGCTTGAAGTCCAACAAAGTCAAAATCTCCTAATCAAAGAGGCAAATGTGGTCATTAGGGTAAAATCATTGAGTTTATTCAGGAGTAGTTGTGCCCGCTGAATTTCTGGCCTGAAATGAAATCATCACTCTGGTATGATCCTTCTCAAACTAATGTGATAGCTTCTCTATCACATCAGATTTTGGAGTCGTTTCCTTGAATGTGAAAAGAAGGCGCAGCCATTTCCAAGTGCACTTGGTGGTTGAGAACCCCTTGATTCCTTCTGCAGGCTGCAGATGGTAACGTGTCTGTGCAAGCTCCCGGAGCCCCGGTTGGAAGAGCGGATGCGAGTCATCAGTGGCGATGTATATTGATATGACATGGTGAACCGACACAGGAAATCCATTAACTCCATCATTCGCTCTTCCTCTGGGGCTCAATATGTAACTATTTATGTTCAAAGCCAAACAAAACCAAACCTTTTTACTCTTTTAGTACTCGGGAGAGCCTGGCTTCCAACACGTCAAGCATTGTTGAGAGTAACCGTCGTCAGAATCCCGCTCTGAGTCCAGCCCACGGTGTAGCTGGGTCAGCCTTCAACTTCCGMGCGAGTACAGACCCCCCGACCAGCGAAGCTGAGAAACTACAGAAACCTTCCAACTGCTTRCAAGCTTCTGTGACTAGTGTGTGATAGTCCTTCTGCCTCAGATCTTCTGTCTCATTCAATACAGCAAAGTTTACGACACTGGGACTGATGTTTACATCTTTGGAAAGACAAGCATCTCAAGCACAGTTTTCGTGTTTACTTAAACTGTGCAGCTAAGTAGGCTAGGGCAAAAAAAACAAAACAAAACAAAACAAAAATCTTTATTTCAGAGTATTGCTTTTCACATTTATGGCTCTGTAGCAACTGAATAGCAGTAGGGGTGATATGTATACTTTGGCTTCACTAATTGTATCTGAGCACACATAGGAAAGTCTAGACACTGTAAGTGGAATATGCGTTTTCAATGTCATGCAGTTGCCAATTCCATTTTTAAAATGCCACAGATGTGTGTTGCTCCCAGTCTGTGGTTCAGTGGGGCCACGGAACTGATCTTTGACACTTCCCAAACAAACCAACCAACTAACAAAAAAACCCCATGCCACCGCAAAATGTCAAATGCAAGGGTCCACCTTGAGGGAAATCAATGCCAAACTGTCCAGGAGGGACCCCCCTCCCCCCCGGCCCTTTGCGTGTAAACCGTTTATGCACCTGTCATTTTTCACTGTGAATTTCGTGGTACTGTTCTGCAGGAGTCCATGGAAGTACGTCAGAAGGGGTGGCGATGGAAATACCGGGAGTGTCTGTTTTCAGGATTTTGTTTTYGAGTGTGACAGATGCTTGTCTTGATTTTAAACCTTCCATGATCACAAACAGGAATAGAGGCCTTTGATGGTGAAGTGGATAAAGGAAGGGAATTCCCATTCTGGCTGGGGCACAGCACTAAGTGAGGGAAAAGGTGATGTGGACATTTTTAAAGCTATTCATCGAATATTGAAGGAAGATAATTTCCTCCTTGTGATACTTAATGATGATCCTATCTTACTATAATAGATAACAATAATTAGTTTGTTTAAAAGCAAAATGTTCTTTGTGATACAAATGGAGAGTATGGCCTGGGGATGTTATTCTTTCTAATGGAAGGATATAAATCTATTTTATGTAGTTTTAAATAGAATGCCTAAATTAGGCTGTGGGAGATGATTTTTAGTGGTTATAGGAAAGAGCAAATTTAGGGAGAGTTGAACTTCAGGCCTTTTATTCCTGGGAAGATATCTATAGAGAAAACTTTTAAAGTAATTTTTGATTAGAAATATACATGCCCATGTAATAAGCAACAGAATGAGCTCATTCTGCTAGTGTGGTATGATCATAATTTGTACTCCCCTAAAGTTTATCAGAATAACAATTATGCATAATGAACTATGCCAGAGTAATGTTTACAGATACTTTGTAACCAATTTCAGGAGATGTTTTTAGGCAGATGTATAGTCATTAGCCCAGCTTATTTCAAAAATGGTTTGTTAACATTTTGCTTTGGTTTACTATGTCATGTTGAACACAAAGAAGGCTCAGCAGCAAAGGATTACAAATAATTAAGCTTCAACCTTATAGGAAATAGACATTTCAAAGTTCCCAAGCTTTATTTTCTGAGAACAATGGAACATGTTATAGATCATGGAAAACTATTTGCAAAAGGGTTTCGTCTGACCCAAGTAAATGGTCTGATAAAAAGTCATATTTAGACTAGTGGCATGTGCTATTCGGAGCCAAACACCATTTTTTAAAAAATAAWCCTATATGTATCATTTTTCACCTCAGATTTAAATAATTGGCATAACATTTGTGAGGCACTTCTGTTCCCATGTTAAATTTAATCACTAGCAATCAGTTTAAAGAACACAGTCATCTACATAGTCAGACTAATTTTTTAAACATGAATACTCATGCTTTATCGCTAYTTGAAAGTTGCARCGGGTCAAAGTTTAGCATAATTCTCTTTTAGTGCTTATTGTAGTGAAATTTAAGCGCATTTCCTGGTAAACTGCCACCCCATTGAAATGCTTAAGCCAGTTGACTTTTAATCCCATGCCTTATTTTCTCCAAGGCATGCCTCGAATACTCAGAAACACACTGTCTGTCTCACTGCTTAAATATGTCCAGAAGAAATGATAACGTATCTAGTAGACTACATAATCTGTTTCCTTGGGGAGTTTGTATACCATACAGTTACTAAATTTTTATGTCTAAATTTCTTTTTTTCCAAAAAACCTGCTCTCAAATTTTCATCATCCTCAATTCATAAATAATATAACCATTAAAACAGTACATTGGCCTCTGATTGACCCTCTGAAAGTAGCCATTGAAATAATCAGATGCTGTGTGAGCAGGAAAAGAAATCATTACCTTTAAGAGAAGCTTTAAAATATGAACTTAATATTTCACAAGAAATAGGTTTACAGGAAACATTGTTCAAAGAAAATGTGTATACTCTTTGCCTGATGCTCCGGGGTACATGATTTTTAAAAGAAAACTTCCTTAGACCAGTAGCCATTAGCGTAGAAATGATGGACTRTCAAGGTGATATATCATGTCAGCAGATGTTCCATTTAGAAATACTCTCCTGAATCGAATCTGGATTCTTGAATGGAGGAGAAGTGGTGGTGGGAAGCGCATGACATATGTGACGTGCGACAATTGTGCATGTCCAAGATGGTCTCACCGAGATGGTGAGGCTCTCCATGCCCAAGCCCTCGGGCCCTCTCCAAGCTTTGTGTTCTTTTCCTCCAGTGATACCATAGCTTTGTGTCACACAACTGCTTATCTAGTCTTAGAGTTTATCAGCTGAAAGGTTTACAAAACTGAATCTGGTTGAATCTCTGTGAGGCGTTCAACTTTAAAGGGTCAACCCATCTGTCGGCATTTTGCACACTTATGTATTATTATGATACAGCATATTACTTTATGGTAATTTTTATTTTTACATATAACTACCTCCATGAATTTGATGAAATGGCAGCAGCGTGTTAAAGTGTATTGTTCAGAAAAGCAACATTTAAAACTTTCTTAAACATGAGGCCATGCATTGTGTGTGTGTCGGTGATTGCCTCTGGGGACTCATGACTATCCCATTGCCATGGTTTTCTTTCACGGCACCCTTTTGGCTTTCAGATGTAATTCTGTCTTCTCCTCTCTTTCCCACGAAAGCACACTTGACTTGGTCACGAAGGAACGAAGGTTTCAAAATTCTTGTCTTTCTCCCACTCTCCATTCCTGCTTAAAGTTCTCTCTGGCCAAGAGCCAATGGGTAAACATAATTTGGAAAGCTATTTACTCCTATGGAAATCTGATTTGATGGCTAGGTTTTCAGTAACAGAAGTCACACAAGAAATTTGGACTGCCAACTCTGAAGCACTTTGGGCCTCTCTGCCTTTATCATATGCCACCCTAACGAGCCCCGGTTCACTTTTATTAAAGAAGCTGTGCCATATAGTTCCATGACTTCTGTTAAGTAATTCATACTCCATTTGATATGTTTTGCACATCTCAGGGGACCTTAATGAGCATATGAAAAGGGGGTGTATCTAATAGTGAAAACAAATAGAGCTAAAAAGGGCCTAGCTGGGTAAAAATAACACATGAATACTTCTCTGATGTTGGGTAGCTCAAGTTCAGGAAGGATAAATTGAAAGAATCCACAGTAACAGTGATCAGAACACCAGCTGTTCCCAAATCTCTATTTTTCGTAACCCAACCAGCATTTCTATAATGTAAACTTAAATTTTATTGCAGTCACCATCAGGAGAAGAAACCTGTTTTGTGGAAACAGAAAAAAATCATTCCACTTTCAGTTTGGCACAACTTGGTAAGCTTCTACCCAGGATAAACCACTTATCACCACAAAGTGTACTTGAAAATAAAATTTTTAACTTAAATGATAGGCATGTTTCTCTCGATACAATAGAGATCATTTTTGGAAAAGTCTCACCATTTATAACTTGGGTAGTATTAGAAGCTTCATTTAAAAACCAACAACCAATGATGATGTTGCTCGGTTCATTTGGGGATCTCAAAGTGCTTCCAAAGCATTAGGTTCACAGACAGTTAACAAGGCAGGTCATATTTGTAATACCTATACTTGGGATGATTTAGATTACCTAGAAACACAGTGGCAGCTATCAATGACCTATTTTCTATCTGTTTGATAGACCATCATGAGAAATCATTAAATACAATGCTCTTTTTCTGATGAGTGCTAATAAAGTCAAAAAAACAAGTACAATCTTACACCTTTGTCTATTTTCATTCAAAAAGTTTAGGGTGTTTGGAATCTTGCACCTCAGCACACCTTTCTGGTATTGAATGATGAAGTGGGAGATGAACAGATCCACCCAGATTCCCTTGCAGTCAAAGGCAGATCCAGATGTCCACCCTTGTTTACAGTTTCATATTGGGTTTCTATAATTCCTGTGCTAAAATATCTTCAGGAACAAGACTGCTCTAGGCAGTGGAAGGTGCTGAAACAAATTTCAATTAAAAACTTTATCAAGTACTCTTCACAGTGCTCCATGGCACAATAGAAATTCAGTACAATATATTGAGCCCGACTTTGTAAGATCTGATCCAGTGCTAAATGTTTTCACAAATTAGGAGACAGAAAACCCTTTACAGGAATCTTCTCCATTACCATAGGCCTGTCCTCAAACCAACTAGCAGTGCTATGGACCACAGTAGACCCAAGCAAATGATTGCTTCTCCCTCCTTCCCCCAGAACCATCCTGCCCATTGCCAAAGCCATCCAGTACTCTCCTGTTAGTGAGAGACTCTTTTGAACACATTTAGGGCACCGGGAAGCTGGAACACAGGAAAAATAATTGCAAAAGCCATGGGAGATATTGTTTTGCTTTGTAAAATATGAGCAGGAAGGAGATTACTATCAGTCTGAGCTTTGCCAACAAAGATAAAGAATTAGCTGTCACCCCAGCCCTCTCACAGAAGGTTTTATGGTATTAACGTTACATCCAATATCTTCCCATAGATTTTTATTTCGGAGACATTTCATAAATTATATGTATATGAAAAAAAACTATTAAATTTCCTCGTGTGTTTGAAACAGGCATTGGCACCTCTCTGATTGAGTGTAATCTCTGCATCTTTTGCAGCAGCATCCCAGAGAGAGATTCCCCGGTGATCTCTCCTAACACACAATCCTGTGTTTTTACAGTTCTGTGACTTACAATTGATGAATTGTAAGATTCAGAATTCCACAGAGCTCAAGGGGGCCTGAACCATCTTCTTATGATTGTATATACGATCAGTTCTAGGGCTTTAATTGCTACTTGTTGGCTCTGCATGTGAACACACAAACACACACCCACACAATGCCAACAAGGGAATAGGGTGTCTCCAAGTAGGCAGCAATGACTCTGGAGAGGTGGAAACTCATGGTTGGAATGTAAGGTTACAAACATGTGCAGCTGCCTATCTCCCCCGTCCAAAGGCTGACCTTGGGATCCCCATTCTCTCACTCCCACCAAAAAGGTACCAAGTCTGAGATCTGAGTTCTCCAATACCAGTCCTCCACAGTTCCAGAAAGTTAATCCTGCAGTACTCAGCAGCCCCTCCCCTTCCTTTCCTTGAGAGTCTCCCTTCCTGCTTCCTTCCCATCCCCTGACCTAGACACTGACACCACCACGGTTTCCACATTGGAAGGGCAGAATCCTGTGCAGTATTGTGCACACATGCCGGTTAGAAATAGAGCTGCCCCAGGGTCACCTTCATGTAAGTATTGACAACTACAAATTAAAGTCCTTAGAGCAGTTGACAGAGATACTACTTTCTGGAAGAGAATTAAATTTAAACGTCAAGTTTAAAGGGATCATAATTCTGCAGGTATCTTTCTCTGAGTGACTGAATGTGACTATTGCATTAGGGTAAATGAATTAAGAAGTGCAAGTGGGATTTACTGTATGTTAGAAAGGAGTTTTGCAGCCAAGACTGCCTTGAATAAAATGTGTTTGCACTGAAAAAAAAAATTTAAATTACTTGGTCTCTGGTTGCTGTAAAGGTCATCCAAGATGGATGTTCTGTTTATATTGTATAGTATTTCATATGAAATAATTACAGTTCATGAAATGTCTTCCCTAATGTTACTGATTTATAACAGCACATTTGTAACATGGTTTTTATTGTGTCAGTGTACCATATTGTAAATGATGATTACTTGTCATGCTTAGTATAATAACTTAAAAGAAAAAAAGGACAGGGATTTTTGTAAGTCTATATTTGAAAGTCCCTCCATATGGTAATATTGTGTTCATGTTGTTTATGTAGTGTTGTGTGAAATATCCATTTTGGATTGTGTTACTTTTTAAGATATTAAATAACATTTGGTTATATGTCTAAGTGGATTTTTTTTTTTGGTACTTGTGAGAGAACATTTTAGGTAAGATCAACTTATTTCGTCAGTTAATATGATTTCATAACAAATTTCAGTTGTACATTTTTTATTATGAGAGTTTTTGAGTGAAACAACGAAAAACGGAAATTTCTGATCAAAATCCTTTTCCCAGGAATGTTGAAAAGTCCCATTCTGGATTGTGAATTTGAAACAGAGTGAGGGTGAGGGATGGATATGATTAATTTTTTTTTTATAAGAAAGTATAAAGCAACGCAGTTGGTTTGGGGAGTGGTTTTGTATTAGTGCTCCTATTATGGCTCTTATCCCCAGCTGAATGGAGCCCCCTCCCAGGTAAACACTAGGCGGCTCTTAATGTTTCTAGTGAGGCACTTGCATGACTTGGGAATGCCTCCACATTCAGTTGTCTTCAGAATCTCCTAGAGTCGGCTTTCCGTGTCCGCAGGCTCCAAATTCCAATTGTGTTCAACCATAGATCAAAAATATTTCAAGAAATTGTGCCTGTATTAAGTATGTACCGACTTTTTTCTCTACCACTTTCTCCTAAACAATACAGTATAACAACTACTTAAACTAACATTTTACTAGGTATTACAAGTCATCGAGAGATGACTTAGAGTATGTGTAAATACAATACCACTTTACATTAGAGAGCTGAGCATTTGCAGGTTTTGATAATCTTGGGAGTCCTGGAACCAGTTCCCTAAGGAAACAGAGGGATAACTGTACATTTTATTCTCCTCAGTGGTGGCAAATCTTTGTGGAGAATGAATACTGTTTTTTGGTTTTGTTTTTATTCAGATTTTTCAAACAAATAGTAGTTTGCTGTCAAGTGAACCATTAAACTGGGAAACAGCATTTTTAGTCAAAATATCTATGGGGCTTTATACAATCGAGCCCAGTTTTCTTGTAAAGGCATTACCCAAAGCAAACTTTCAAGACCTGTTTTGCACAGTGACTGTATCTTGAATTAGCGTGGAGACCCCGAGGTGAGGATGTTTCCTTGTGTAAATTTGTCTATGTAGTTTTTTTTTTTTTTTAGGCCCAAAGTTAGGAGAACAAGTCCATTGTGTTTGACTCTAGAACCACAGGCCTCTGTGGTAAGGGAAGGTCATTGCGTGTTCCTTTCAGAAAGATCCAGTGAACTTGGTGCATGGAGGAAATGTGGCAACATTCTGGCTCCTATGAGAGAACTGTCACACTTCATAAAAATCTTTTCTTTCCAAAGGAAATGGTATGGTTTTAACTTATTTTTAAGTGTGGTGGTGGGAATTTTTTTTCCTTCTCTCCATAAGGAAAACCCAAGCAAAGTGCTCAATGTTTGCCTCCTACCCTGTTTGCAGCTGTGAAATTGAGAACAATTGAATAATAAAAAAGAAGTTATTCACCTGACTTTCAAATTTATTTAATTGTAAAGTCTTATGCCTACCGTGGGAATACTTGGTTTATTGATAGTTCCCTCTCTCTAGGCACAGTGACTCCAGACTCTTCCTGTCAATAGTTCCTCTTCTAACACATGAAACAAATGTGTAATGAATATATTCACACAGCATATTGCCCTGTGCAAGAGTCTCAAGAAAAAGCAAGGCACTTACACTCAAGAGAGACTGGGTAGGATTTTTTTTTTTTTTTTGTGAATCTTCTTAAAAGAATTGCAATGAGAGTATAAAGTAAGATAGGGAGAATTTAGATGTGATGAGTGCATATAAACAAGAGAATTGAGGCCAAAGTAGTTAGTTTGGAATCCAAAAGGCAAAATTGATCTATTGACAACCAGCGTGCTGGCACACGCTTCTAATCCCAGCAACTCAGCAGGTTGAGGCAGGAGGATTGCAAGTTCAAAGCCAGCCTCAGCAACTTAGCAAGGCCCTAAGCAACTTATTGAGACCCTGTCTCAAAATAAAACACAAAAAGGGCTGAGGATGTGGTTCAATGGTTAAGCACCCCTGAGTTCAATCCCTGGAACAATAAAAACAAAAATTGATGTATCGATGTTTGATAAAGAGTGATTATTTTTTCCTCTGCAGGTATATCTAGGGCATTGGGGGTTTTATCTACCCAGAGCCCATATGCACTTGTCTGGGAGACCATTTAGGTGGATTATTCAGCCATCCCTCAAATTCCATCAAATAAATTCTCTGATCACCTCCCATTTCCCTTGTTTCTTTCTTTATTGTGAAGTTTCATGCATTATTTTTCTCTTCTACTACCTTGACTTTCTCTTACTTTACTACTCTTTCTAAGGATATCTGTTCGTTTGATGTTATGCTATTAACATTTGGACTCAGTCCTGATCTCAATCACTGATAACCACAATTTATTACTAGTATTTTAAAATTCACATTTATATTTATATGACCTTATCTTGTGCTCTTCTCCATCTCGTTTTCACTTGGCTTTGTGTCAGGAACCTGTTGATATCCAATACTTCTGTACGAATCTGCCACTCATTGCTTCATCAGAGGCCTGATAAGTAGCTAGCAACTTGCAGACAGGCATAGATAGATGGTTAGATGACAGATGTTGCATGTTTTCAAAGTTGAACAGGTTTCTTTATTGCAAAATTACTCAAAACATGTTATGCTTATTTGCATTTTAAATCTTCAAGAATAGGGGAGTGCCCTGCCCCCCTTACAGAATTTCTATCATCTTATCTACCTACCTATCATCTATCTACCTATCTACCTCTCTGCTTTCTTATACTCTGTAAATGGCAATGAAACAAAAAGAGATGTCATGCAAAGAGATATTGTTTGACTTCTGTGTCACCCCCTTTTAAAGATGTGTTGAGAATTTAGTTGGTTGTTTTGTTTTTGTACCTGGATTGAACCCAGGGATGCTTAACCATGTGGCCACATACCCAACCCTTTTTTAATTTTTTATTTGAGATGGTGTCTGGCTAAGTTGCTTAGGGCTTCTCTAAGTTGCTGAGACTGGCTTTGGGTTTGCAATTCTGCCTCAGCCTTCCAAGGGAAGTTTTGAGCCTTTTTATCTGTGCTGTAAGCCAACAGCTGCCATCTTTACTCTACCATATTGTGGGAAAAGTTTTGCCCTGAACAGTACCTCTCTTAAAGTTAGATAATGGCTCAGTGGTCCTGGCATTGAAGGATCAATAGGTCTGCATAGCAGAATTTCATGTCATTTGTCATTGTTGATAAGACAAGTACAACAGATAAACAACAAATCTCCAATGGATTGGAGAAGACAGGAGTTTTTTCCCTTCATTTTCCTTCATGTGTTATTTGACATTTGTTTTTAATGTCAAAGGATTGACATTCAGAGTGGGGAAATTCCTCCGTCTTTGGGATAGGACCATGAACAGAAGGTTTCACTTCCACAGTCCCTTCCATGTCTCCTCTCTTTAAAAATGACCTAATTGGGAGAATCAAGGGGCTCCTGATGGTCTCATAAGATGTCAGGCAAAGGGGTGTGACAGAGATATCTTTTAAAATGGACTTTTGCCCCAGCCAATTGGTCGAACTACAAATACTTTGGGGAGACTTTCCCAGAGATTTCAGCAGTCAGCATGTTTTGTTGAGAGCTTTTGAGAGTAAAGCACTTCCACTGCACTTAAAAAATAAACCATTTATTTTATAACATTTTTAAATTTTGAGAATTGCAAAGAGAGTATAAAGAGTTCTTATATGCTCTATAACCAGGTCTGCTATTATTAACATCTTCTATTAATATGGTATGTTGGTCACAATTAATGAACCAAAACTGTATACACTTTTAAATTTCCTTTGTTTGTTGCTACAGTCATTTTTCTATTCCAGGAGCCCATCTAAGGTACCATATTACATCTAACTGTCATGTGTCCTTGGTCTGAGATAGTTTCTTTATTCTCTTTTTGCTTTGCTTGTGTGTATGTGTGTGTATGTGTGTGTGTGTGTGTTTGCGTGCATGCTCATGTGCTGGGGACTGAACCCAGGG